CACATTTGCAGATTGTTGTACAGACACACAAATCTCCTCACACATTTACAGATTTATTTACACATTTTCAAATCCCACTGCACATGCACAAATCGAGATACAGACACACAACTCTCCACACACATTTGCAAATATTAAAGCTACCATTTTGGCCCCATAAACCCCCCTTTTTTTTTTTTTCCTCCAAACCATGTCTGTGCCTGTTGGCCAACGCTCTAACCAATGAGCACCATTGACTGTGATGTAGTAAGCGCGACAGGATGCTGGTGGGGGATTGTAAACAAACAGCCTGTCGGTAAAATGGCTAATACGTCCTCCTTAAAAATGAATGAGCGTAGAGCCTCTTCCTGCTCACGTTTCAACAAAAAACCCAAGTCTAGTCCTTCCAAAACTGATTCCAAAGCTGAGTTAAACGAGAACTGTTCAATAGTTGTTGCCATCTTCCTTGTTGGGCTTTCTCCAGCGTCGCACAGCTTTATCGTCATGCCCTCAAAACCCTGCACACTTGGCATCCATAAATTCAAAACGCATCTCTGCGTTGTGATTGGCCCGCTAGTTCTAGGGCCTGGGGCATTGATCGAGGCTAGACCAAACTCGCAGGCAAAAATGATTTTGGCCACTGGCAGGTGGGGCTAGTTTACTAGGCTAGGAAGTTCCTGCAAGGACTTTGATAGTTTGTGCAAAATCAAGGAGTATAAAAACTTTAGCAGTAGTCCTCTTTCTGAGGGTTTGCAGATGCAGCAGATTCGGTGTCATGTCTGCTCGGAAGTTTGTTGGCTGTGGGTGTAAATGCAGGGAGGATCCATCACACACACCTTATAATAGGGCTGAAGTGTTGAGAACAACTGACTATTTCCTCCTGTGAACCCCGTTTTATTACAAAATGCTGCAAATAAGCCATTATACAGTAGCTGTAAGTTATAAACAATTTCAGTGGGAATCTAGAACAGGACAAAAATACGTTGGTATGCTTTGGAGATAAGTTCTCTGATATGGTATGCACAAGTAATTAAAGTTGCGCAAAAACTGTACAGCGTTTTCAGTCGTTCCACACAGCTACAGCTCAAACTGTACGACAAATCTGCAGGGTTTAAAAGTTCACAGCTCACAATGTTTGTTCTTACACTGTACTGCCCGGTGCTCTGATCCGATTCAACTGCTCACACTGCATGTCCAAAAACCACATGTGGGACTCGGCGCCGAGAGATGGCGCTGGTCAGACTCGTCAATCTGGAAGAAGAACTACTCCCTTGTTTGACCATGCACAGTGCATGAGGTTCTGCTAAATCGGCTCCTAGATCTGCTTCAACAGCAGGACTGGCCCATGAACACCTTACAACAGCCGACTGAATTTCAGACATTTCTTATTTTCTCCGGACTATGCGATTCCTGATCGGGAGGAGGTCGTGAGAGGCTGATCGACCATCGTTACCCCCTGTGTACTGCACAACGCAGGACGCACTATGGGGCTTAAACTCTGCCCGATCGAAAACATTCTTGCACAATAAGAAATTGGCCTGGAAAGGGCAAAAAATCTTAACGTTTATACCCGGCTTTAGACTTCACGTATGTCAACGATCAAATAACTTACCTGTAACTTATGAACATACGCTGATGTACTTGCTGTATGCCAGCGTGTGCCAGTATGCTCATAACTTGTAAAAAACTGACCCAATGTATGCCAGGGTTTTTTGCCAGATTTTTCGTAGGTCAGGTTGTCAAGATGTGACGGGCTTTAATGAGTTGCAGCTGGCACACAGATCCATGCATGATTGTAGAAGTAAGCACTCTTTCATACAAGAGTATAGGTCAACAGACTCTGGACAAGCAAGCTTTTAAGGTCATGAAACAATGACACCATGAAGTGAAACATCTATGGTTTAGGTGGTTGTTTAAAAAAAAAAGGCATTTGACTTTTGGCAAATTTGTTCAGCCCTATATTTAATTTTTAATAGCCTTGTATAACTGGTCTATATGAGTGGTGTATAACTGAATGAGTCCTGAAACTATAATCTACTGAAAGCAGTCTTCTGATGTAGACTTGAAGGTTTTTGAGATCTATGAAAGTTGTCTTACTTGTTCTCATCTTTACCTTCACCCTTTTAAACTTGGTTTTCCTTTGTCATTTTCTTATTCCTTAGTTTCAGTCCTCCTTAACCCTGGGTATTTAAAGCAAACTGTTAAAAGGACCATTAAAATCCATTAGAAACAGATAATATGCAAGAAATGGATGAACTGAACCATTTTTTGTAGCTACCATATAGTTTTTAGAACACGATTGACGCTAAAGTCCCATAGCAGATTGCTAAAGGTTTCTGACCCTGTCATTTCAGGTGATTGTGCCTCTCCCTTCCTGGGATCTGAAAACAAAGGAACCACTGACCTCTGATCCTGAGAAGTATGCAATAGAAACCGAACTTATCTTCAAATACTCCCCTTTTAAAAATGAACAGCAGCTGATGGAGCAGTTCAACAAGATAGAGAGCAGCAGTGGTGCGGACATTTGTATTTTTTGCTTTTGAATAATTGCATAATTCAGTGGAACTGTTAACTTCATCCTCTTTTTTTTTTTTTTCAAAGGTACTCTTGTGGTCGTCTATAACCTAAAGCTGATGGACAATGGAGAACCTGAGCTGGATGTGGAGACCGATCACCAGGACATCCTCATGGCTGGGACACCTACTGAAGGAGTGTGAGTTTAGCTAAGCTACCCTTTAGAGACTAACCAAACAACCCACATTATGTGAAAGACATTACGTATTGTATGCCTGTGCTAATTCACATGCTCATGGAAACGACAAGACAGCCTTAAACTAAGAAGTCAGAATTCTGCAAAAAGGGCATACATGTAATAAATGCTGACACAAGCAGCTTTATTTAAAGCACATGTATATAAACTATCCTCCATACACATTTTAAATGTTCTGTGTAAGTGGATTCAATACCATGAAGCCCCCCAATATATCACATTCATGAATGCAAGCCCCTTTTTATTGCTTGTGGCTTTTCTTCACCTTTAGATTCTCTCTTACTGCAATGTGGACCCATTTTTTGTGCTTTTGTGCTTTTTCCACAGAATGTAAACAGCCTATTATTGACATCTTAAGAGAGTACTATTTTCTTCCTTTTTGGGGATAGCAACTTTAGCAAAGCATCTTCAGGTTAATTGCTTCTCTACTTAAGTATTAAACATTGCTTAAGGGAAGTCATTAAATGACTTGGTTTAACACAGTCCTGGATGTTTTCGGACCGCAGTAGCCATATGCTCTAAAATAATGTCAAATTTGGAACTTCGTGCAAGATGAGCTAAAATGATTTGGCCTATAAATACCACCACTATCAACACATTATGGAGAAACCTCTTGAAAGAAATAACTGTTGCTCTGGGGCGGTGCAAAGAGGCATTGAAAAACTTGTAAACGGCTGTGTTTTATACTTCCTCATGTAGTGTAGTGTCGTTTGCTTGCAGTTTGTAATGTACACCCCACCCCACCACCCACCCCCAGGCTATCCAGGATGACAAAGATTCCTGGACTAGTGTTGAAACATTTCACCAAAAAAAAAAAAAAAAAAGAGGTTTGCTCTGATTTTATCCTGTATTGTGAATATGGATTCAGTTGTAATCAGTTGCTTGTATGTTCTGAACACCTGCACAGGAAGCCAGAAAGGAGGTCATTCAGGGCATACACTGCTGTACTGTACATCGACCCACGCATGAGGATCTTTATCCAGGGACATAAAGTCAGAACTAAGAGACTCTCCTGCTGCCTCTATAAACCAAGGTAAACTAATCTACCATGCATTGGTATTTAATTATCTTTATCTTGCCTTTACTGAATACATGCTTAATAGTATTTTATTTTTTGAAATAGGGTTTATAAATACTCATCAACACGGTTTAAAACCCGTGCGGAACAAGAAGTGAAAAAAGCAGATCATCTTGCAAAAATAGGTGGGTTTCTGTATTTGATTTATAAAACTGTTGCTTTAAAAAAAAAAAAAAAGTTAATCTGACTTATTTTTGCTCCTTATACCAGCTGAAGAGAAGGCGCGGGAAGCGGAGAGTAAGCGTGTAGCAATGGAGACCAGATTAGGAGATGATCTGTCAAAAGAATCAAGGGTAAAAAAAAAATATTTTGAAGAAATTGTGAAGTCAAATTTGTAAACGAGGCGAGTCGACAAAAAGAAACCCAAACTCCTTTTCGTTAGAAATTAACTTTGCCAACAGATTTTTAACTGCTTAAAAAGAGGATATAATGTTAGCATATTATTGTGATTTAATGTGGGACCTCTACTTGAGTTTCAGATCTGCTTTGATTATTTATGCATTTAAATTTTCTCTTTTATCACCAGAGAATTTTTGGATTTAATTTGTCTGGGTTTTTTTTCTGTTTTGAGAAAGTTTGGCATTGATCTGTGTTGGGCTTTTTTGTCATCTTCTTTCTTTGTGTCTTTAGGCAGTTCTGAGGAAAGTCCAGGATTCTGCCATGATGCTGCGAAGGGATGCTGAGATACGAAAGAGAAATCTTGAAGCCAAACAGAGGTACATTGAATTTGGGTTGAGTGCCTAATATATTTACTGAAGCCACATAACATTTAATTGTAGTGTTAGGATTGATGCAGTTGCACGACGCTATGTGCACATTGTGTTTTAAAGACGAATACAAAAAAAGTACATGGTGGTAGGACCATGTAGATGTTTGTTTTATAGACATCTTATTTATCTCTTAATCGAAAAATTAAAGGTGTGTGGCTTATTAGATGGACCTTAATGTTTGCTTATCATTAGAGAAATAAGATATCCATTGAAATCTGTGGTTTGCATTAATATATAATGTAAGGCTTTGGTCCGTAATCACATTTCAGCATGAGGAGAGGAAGTGATGAAGACAAAACTAAAACTAAGACAGAACAGAGGAAAGTGTAGAGATTAGGGCTAAATTATTTAGCCATAAATTGAATTTTGGATCTCTTTAATGTTTTTTCCTCCAACCAGTATTCAGATGTTGATATTTCTCTGTATTAAACACAAGCATGTAAATGTTTCAATACAGGGTTTGACTGTGTTCATGACATTGAAAACTTGCTTGTCCAGAGTCCATTGGGGCAGAGTTTTACTTTTTTGTAGAAAAGTATTTACTTCTAATAGCATGCAAGGATCTGTGTGCTAGCAGCAAACACTTTAAACCTCTTGCTGCATGTAATGGGCTGGAGTGAGATTGGTGTTTTAATCTTGTTCAATCTAATGTGACCACAACTGTGTGCCTATGAGAGTTAATAATTCTGTTTGTGAATTTGCGATTATATTGCAAATGCAGTTGACTGTGCAGCCCTAGTAGAGGGACATATTTTTTCAATGAAACTTTCAGGCCTTTTTTAATGGATTTCAGATTTAGCAAATGGAAGCTTTTCTGCTGTGTTTGCAAACTGATTGTTAATTTTCAGATTAGAAGAACTGTTAAGCTTTCTGCTAGTAGATGTACACAATAGGCCAACACTTTTGGAGGAATATCTTATTCGTAGAAACTTTTTAAACAAAACCTTAAAAACTTGTTTATATTTGGTATTTAGGTCCTGTTAGTCAGACAATCTTCCCTTTTTTCCTCAGAGCACTAAAGGAACCCAAGGACTTAAATTTTATATTTGGAGTAAATATTGAGCAGAGGGAGCTGGATGGCATGTTTGTGTACAACTGCTCTCGTCTTATCAAGATGTATGAGAAGACGGGTCCTCAGCTAGAGGGAGGCATGTAAGTTGACCCAGTGAGACTTTAGCATCCTGCCACTCTACAATTTAAGTGTTAAAGAAAATGAAACGTGTGCATTTGTGTTTTATCTAAGGGCATGTGGAGGTGTAGTTGGAGTTGTCGACGTCCCATATTTGGTGCTTGAGCCCACCCACAACAAACAGGACTTTGCAGATGCAAAGGAGTACCGGCACTTACTGAAAGCAATGGGAGAGCATTTAGTTCAGTACTGGAGGGACACCAACATTGGTGAGTGGTTTTAATATTTTAGACTGCTGTTTGTATCTTTGGTTATAAACGGAACTGTCTTTTGGGATGAGATTATCTTGTGCAATAGGCACACAGCCGGCCTGACTAAACACCGCCGGACTCCAACCTCGATTTGAGCCGCCTGCTGCTTTTATATTTCTGGCCTCTGGAGATAAAGAATCCTCTTGCACTTTAACATGGTGCTTTTACAAATGTTACTTTTTTTTCAACTTCAGGTCCCAATACAGTTTCTGCCTCTTGGTATAAAAGTTTTTCCAGCATTGTAGTTTGCTGTCTTGCTTTCTTGTGCTTCTAGTGTAAAATATAGAACATTTGTTGTGATTTATAGCTGGCTAGCCTCTCTGCTGTGCTAAATGTACCCATGCCAGCTGGGTGCTAAATGTGAAAAGAATTTCCTGAACTGATTTGCCACGTCTTGTGTTTTCTGTTCAGGAAATCCTTTTAGTACTCAATTTAGCCATCCTGTGATATCCGTTGTTTTGATATCTCATGAACTAAATGTTTAAAAAGCTTCACTCTGACAGAACAACCAATGTTTTAGTTTACAGAAAGTTTTCTTTTAAATAGCTTCTTATGCTGTTCTGCTCCTCCTGACTTCATTTTAAACTGCTGACTTATGCTACGAAATATCCCACCTTCAGTCATTTTTTGACGGCAGTAACTTCCAGGAGGTCGTTGTTAGTGTAGGTATGATGAGTTGAATGATCTAAATTGGTTGGGTTTTTCAATCGATGTTACCACACATCAAACAGAAAATCAAATTTCAGACCGTTTTTTTCCTTTGTACGTTTAGTTTTTTACTTTAAATTCCTTGTTGTAATGGCATTTTGTCTATAACGAGACTGATATATATAAAAAAAAAGCTGCTTAATTCCAGTTTAAAAAAAAGTTGGAGAGGGATGTTTCCTTTTGGATTATTTAATAAGTAGCTATATTAGATTGTAATGAATTGTTTTTTGTTTTTGTTTTTTGCAGCCCAAAAAGGCATTGCGAAGTTCTGGGATGAGTTTGGATATCTGTCTGCCGGTTGGTCTTCTCCTCCATCCTCAGAGCTGAGATACAAGAGGCGCCGTGCCATGGAGATACCGATCACTATTCAGTGTGGTAAGCTTCACGTTCCAGGTTCAGCACTCTCCGGTCTTAACAGACATAGGACGAAGACCCATAATGAAACAGTTGATTTCTGTAACCATAATAGTCAAGATTGCAGCTGCAATGTAGTGATGTTTAAATTACACCTTTTATTATGTCTCAAAAGAGCTGTCTGTATCTTTAAAACATCTGGCTGCTGTAAGAGCTTTTCTGTTCTAAAAAGCCGTTTTTCCTTCAGTCGTTGTTTTCTGATTGGTTCTAAACTGTTTCCGTTGACTCTGTTTGTCCTGTCTTTGAAATTGGGCTCAAGCCACTCCTTTCCAGACTGATCTGCTATGTACATGGCAAATTTTAGTCTGTTGGGTTTCTCTGAGCTCATACGGTAGGTTGAAACTTACTTGACATACGGTTCTGTGTTTTGTTTTCAGATAAGTGTTTGAAGTGGAGAACGCTGCCTTTCCAGATGGATGCAGTTGACAAACGCTACCCTGACAGTTGGGTGTGTCTCATGAACCCTGATGGCGCTCAGGACAGGTACAGTTTATTGGACATGACAAAACATCTCATTTCAAGTTATTAGTCAAATAGTTCATCTCACACGCCTCTCCGTGAAACCATTGACTGTTTCTACCAAAGATATTTAGATTTGTTCATTATTCTTTCTTTTTCTTGTTTTATGTCAAAGATGTGAAGCTCCAGAACAGAAACAAAATTTTCCTGTCGGTGTATTAAAGAAAGAAAAACAAACAGTTGAAGACAAACAGAAAGAGCTAGCAGAGAAAATCAGAGCGCAGAAGGAAAAACTAGAAGCCTTACAGGTATTTTTATTTATTTTTTTTAACCTTCTTGTCTATTCTCTTATGTGAATACCTCCATCTAAATATTCAATGTCTTTCGGTTAGAAAACCAGCACAATTAAATCTGCAGCAGACATCAAAAAGCTCCCACTTGAAGTCAGTATGAAACCCACAGAGACCTCAGGTCAGGTAAGAGTCTCATCGTAATTAGGTTCCTTCCACCCACCCACATTTTGAGAGACCGTTTTTGAGAAATTGGACTGTAAAGTAAAAATGATTGCACAACATGTTTGCTGTCTCATACACAGTTCATGCTTCATCCATCCTAACAAGACAGAATGTATTTTTAAGGTTCTCTTTTTTTTTTTTTTTCTTCCTTTTTTAGATAGCTATTGGCAATTATTGTGATTTTACTAGTAGTGAGGTGTGTATCAGCAACTGCAGGAAAACCCACTTTGAAAGTAAATGGATTTGAACGTTCTACCTTCAGATGTATTTCAAAGGTTTTTCTAAGTGTTGTGAATAATTTATACCTATTGGAGTTGTTGTGATAATAGAATGTCAAATCTGATATTTATAGCCAGGAATATATTTGATAGTTAATGCCATTTTTGATTTCACAGAGATAAAAGATGACAAAGGTGTGAAAATATTTAAATTGAAATATAAAACTCATCTTTTTTTATTTTTTTTATCTCAATATTGAGTATATGTTCTTACCAGAATCCCAGATGCAAGTTGAATAGGTGTGCAATAAATGTATAATACAGAACCTTAAATATATTTTCCAATTTGACAATAGTTCAAGATTTTCTTTAAAGTTTATTTTTCTTTAAATTTGCTGATAATCAAGATATATAAAATGAACAACAGAAAAAATATGTAAGCAACTCTTGTTTTTAGAGTTGATACAAAAATAATGTATCTGCATACACATTGCAAAAACAATCTAGAAACAAGTAAAAATGTCTTAAACTAAGTGTATATACCCTTAATTTGAGTAGGTTAATAAAAGGATTGCCAATGGAATTTGTATTTTTACTCTTAAGATAAGATGATTAGCTAAGATTCACATGAAATAAAACAATACAAAAGTCTTTCTTTTAGTGTAAATTGTCTTGTACCATTGGCAAAGTGTCTCACCACTCAATTATCAATTTAAGAAAAAAGGCACTTAATTTAAGAAAAAAAATCACTTATTTAATTTACAATTTTTGAGACCCTAGTCCCAATATTTAAAGGTAGTTATAAGCTTCTTTAAGGGGTTTTAAATTCATTAGTTTTATTTATGCAAAAATTTTAATTTTATATTTCTTCACTCCATTTGGTTACTTGTTTAGACGACTAGGTCTTCTGAAAGGTCTGCAACACGCCCACGCTCTCCGCCTCTCCCAGCTCACCTGAAGAACGCTCCGAGTGTCCCTCCATCACGTACAGCTTCTCAGCGTCCCACCCGAGCTTCTACAGCTCCTCCTACACCTCCTAAGTCAGAACCATCCAGGACCAGAGCTGCAGCGAAGACCCCTCAAGCTGCAGCGAAGACCCCTCAAGCTGCTGCAAAGCCTAGCCCAAAAGCCTCTGCTAGAACACCTCCATCCAGTCGCAGCTCGAGGGTAAATGAGGGCTTTAGGTACCCTACAGGTTTTCTTGGATTTCCCTTCAGAGATCTAAAATAGTTGGCTTTCTCCTTCCACAGGCCTCTACCAAAGCATCATCTGTCAAACCAACTCCTACTGGACAGCGCAAAAGGATAATTGAGGAGGAGGAGGAAAGTGAGGAGGAGGAGGAGGAAGAAGAAGAAGAAGAAGAAGAGGAGGAAGAAGAAGAGCAAAACAGTGAAGAGGAGGTTGAAGAAGAACCCCAAACAAAGAAATCCAAGATGGCCACAGCTGCTGCCTCTGTGCGTGGTAAAATGGTGGAGAAAGCCCTGCCTCCAAAACGGGGGAGGTTGGACGAGGTAATTATACTAAGTTTTTGGAATTGCAATGAAAGCATCTCTAGATTGTGTTAAAAATATTTCATGCATAACGGGTTCTAAACACTTAGATGACAAACAGCTACCAATGATAGCTTTTTCTTCTATATGTAGGTGGTTAATTTTCCTGAAATCACTAAAAAAAGTTTATAACATTGTTACTGAGACAAACTGTTAAGTATATATTATAATTGAGGGGCTGTTGGCCTAGTGGTTATGGCAGTGCGCTTGTGCTCTGAGAAGGTTGCAAGTATCCTGTTCGATCCCCACAGCCTACACCCTGGGTCTCTGAGCAAGACCCTTAACCCCACACTGCCCCCTGGGCACTGCACAATCGCAACCCACTGCTCCCCAAAGGGATGGGTTAAATGCAGAGGTAAATTTCTTCAGTGTGAGATCAATAAAGTTCAGTTATTATTAAGGGTGATATTAGAAGAGAATAAACATTGTAAAACCCCAAAAATGATGGTTTGCACCAGGTGAAAGGACTTTACTAAACTCATTTATGCCAAAATATAGTTGATCATTATATTTAAATTGGACTTTTATCTGTTGCTAACCATAATCAACACCTTGCAAGAAGGTTTGGGGGGAGAAAAACTCAGTCTTTCTGCATGGAGTTTGCATGTTCTCCCTGTGCAAGTGTTGGTTCTCTCCAGGTACACCGGCTTCCTCCCACAGTCCAAAAACATGACTATTAGGTAGGTTCTGGGTACCGAACTTCGGTTCTTTTAT